GCCCATGCTCTTGACATAATGTTCCTTTCTGAGCCAACTCAGTGTTAAGCTGTGGAAGCAGAGTGTGTGGTGCAGATAATGCAGGAAGGAAGGCTTTGCATACTCATTCTAGCATGTTCTCCCAACACACACCTGGGCATCAGCAAAATCCCTCTGTAAAGCTCCATTGAGCAATTTTGCAAGAGAATATTTTCTGTTAGACACTACTCTGTGAGCACCTTTCCTTAGCGTCTTCAGGGGCAGATTTCTGAAAAATTTCACTTGCTTGTGTGGAACCTTGGTGATTTCTGCAAAACACAGAATCCCAGAGACACACCCTACAGCCCACAAATGGCTCTCGGTGCTGGTGCATGAGTCTTTCCTATGGGATTGGATGTCATCTCCTATCTGCTATTGGAATACTTTTAAACTCCTGTTCTACTTTTATTAGGTAATCATTTGTTTCTCTCCTCTGATTCTTACAATTAAAAATTCTTTCCTGTATATTCAAAATTTCAGTCCAAATTACCAGGTGATTTTGCTCTCATTATTGGAAAGAAACATACATCCCTCAACTCCTTTGATGGAATCAGTTTTTTTAGTTACTTCTCATGATCAAGCCCTAGTTTCATGCCTGGTCTTGTGGATCTGATTGTTGAATTTGGGGACAGTGGGGACAGTGGCTCAAGGGAAAGCAACCCACACTTACTTCAACCAATCCCAATCTTGAGGCTAAACCTTCCTAGCCATGTCTCATATCATCCTGAATTGCTGAACAGTACAATTTCATGGAGTTATTTTCAGCGTGTGGTTAATTACTTAGGCAAATGAAGATATCGTCTTGTTCCATGTCCCCCTCTAAGTAATTACAACATACTTGTCATTCATGAGGCCAACCAAGACGAGTAAAACCTTATTTTGAGCAATCAAGGAAAAGACTTTCTTCTTTCACATTATCTCTACATTAGAAAACTACAACCTTGAGATGCTTGGCAACCACTTTGACCTTAGACTAAAAAGAGCCCACAAAGAACAAATCCCTCACTGAGAGAAAGAGCACAGAAACTCAGTTCTTGTGACTAACTTAGCCTTGATCAAATTTTTCCTGACACTTTAATCTTAAGACTCTTTGTTGAGTCCACGTGGAGTTAGATTTTCTGTTATTTATAGCCAAAAAGTACCGTAATTATACTTTTCTTCTGGGTATGACTATAGCAATATGCAGACATTCTTAGTGTACAGTACATGGTTGATGATTCCTGGGTTGGCATGTAAGGTTCTCAAAGCAGAAGCCAAGCCAAGTTTGAAGTTATGTATACTGGCATAGTGTTTTATATATCGTACGTAAGCAGTAAATATTCCCTAACAATCAACTGAATAAGTAAATTATGAACAATTTAGTTGTGTGAGGGCAATATCAGGATAGTTCTGGCAGAAATATAATGCTAAGAAACGGAGCCATATTTTATATATTTGAAATCAGAGACAAGACTACTGTAATCCAATTGAGTGTAATCCAACTACATCAGAGCTTCAGCAATAAGTGGCGACTACTAAGAAATAATGAGTTATGAGGCTGTGTTTGACAATTTGATGATAAAGTCACAAAGCACAGGTAATATTAGATTTTCCCTGTCCTTTTATTGGCCTCCAACAACACAGCATTATATTTGACTTGTAGGAACCACTAAGAAAACATGATTTCCCCAAGAAATTGACTGAGTGGTTACAGTTTTTATTATTATTATCATTCCATTTTCTAGGGAGAAATTCTCCCATCATCAAGTACATTATTTTAGTAGCTACCCTGAGGATTGAAAAAAGGTGATTGTTTTATCTGACATGTCTAGGTGAGTTCATGTGTAATATCATTCCTCATGCAAATAACTGACAATATAATCTGATTACATGAATTCAGAACCTAAGGAAAATAAATATCCTCTTTATCCCTACTGATTGGAATGAAGGATTCCTTTAAAAGTGTGAAGAGCCATGAATCAACCAAACACACTGACAATGTCAACTGATTGCAAGGTAAAAAAAGGTGTCTGCCTAGGAAACCACTCAGTAGCAATTTCAGTAATAAAACTGATCAAAATTCAGCATCATTTTAACAGTGCCTAATGTACAAATGATTGGCATAGCTTTGCTAACAAGCATCAGATCCCACTAACTGGACTTTGGAAAAATGTGAGAGCCAATGTCTTCACACTCTCCTCTTGAATCTGGAAAGGCATCAGCAAAATCTTTGTACTGTCAGTCCTATGAAACTTCTTTGACGTTAAAGCACTAAAAAATACTTGTTTGATGGGCATGGTAAGCTTAATACATGCAACTAAAATACCTGTATGTTGTATTAGTTCCTGGGAAGACATATAAATTTGTGTTTCCAAATAGAAGTGCAAAGCAGTAGACTGCAAAGAGCTATACACTGCCAAAACACATAAAATCTGCAGAGGTTTTAGAGTCTAAATAGCATCTGTTCACAATGACTTGATATGCCAACAATTATATACCAGGATGTAAGGCAGAGAATGATGATAGGTATTAGAGAAAAATATATTGACTGCCTTTCATCTACTGGGTGAAGGATTGATGAAGAAACATGAACCTGAGCATCAATAAGAAAGTAATTCTTTCTACCTTTCTGTAAGTTACAAATATATGAGAAAAAATTGATATCTGGAAAGAACACCCCAAAATTTGGCATCTGGCCTGAAAGATGAATAGTAAAATACCATATGTAATGCTTAACGGTAAAGTGGCTAGCCAGCAGTCACATTACAAGAAGCTGTGGGATTTATTATAGAGAATTTTCATTCATCCAAACCAACGAATATTGGAATCCCAAATTTGCTCTTATTAGAAATCATCTAAACAAAACAAATCTTGGTAAAGATGTAGATGATAGTTGTTAACCTGCTGAATCAAAGCATTTAGAAGTAAATGATTTTTGTCTTCCATCCTAAATTTAAAAAGTGAATAGATTCTTAGAATATTTTGTGAGGGGCTGTTGTATTTCTACAGCAAAGAACTAACACACTGCTAGGCAAAATTATGAGCTTGTTAATTTACAACTATTTTGTTGACTCAAAGCTTTTTGGTGAGTGGTGCAATTACATGAACCCCAGGACTTCAAAATATGATTGAACCCACAACCTGGCTGATTCAGTGTAGTTCTTCATTTCTTCCACAAGAGGGCAACAATCTACCATCACTGCTGGCTACAGGAGCTGAGGTCTAAGTAGAACAAATGTGTTATTTAGTCTACATTCATTTTTAATTTTACAACTGACAGGCTGACAGGAGTACTTAATATTGCTGGGTTGACCTTTGCATGATTTTGTGCTAAATTCTTTTTTTTAACTTCCCTTAATCTGCAGAACAGAGAAGAAAATGCAATTGACTCCACATTACAATGGGCTGAAGCTATATTATCAGCTGACAGCACCAGTCAAAGAGATGTGCAGACAGGCAGGATTGCCTAGCAACTGGTGCCACTAGGGTATCCCAGAGCAGAATGAAAGAGCATTTTCTTTAGGTGGGCAATTTAGGAAGGATACTTAGCCTGTCATCACTTCCCAGTGGTGGCTGAACAAGCTTACCATAGCCTAGACAATCAGTTGAGATACAGGATTAATTTCTTTAAGTTCATATCTATCATCCCCATATGAGGATAAAGGAAGACTGTCTTTCTGGGGAAATATTGTTATGAGAATGTAGTCTCGGAAGATCAAATGTGCTAGCAAGGTAAAAATGGTAAAACTTTTCCCCTACCATACTTGAGGAGAAAGTTACCTGGGCCATAAAGGTTGCGTAAACAGAGGTGCCTGGAGGAGGGGCAGCTGGCACTGCAGCCTGCAGACAGATGCACGGGGCTCACAGTCTATAAGGGGCCCCTGATTCCCACTCATTTTACACCCAGATTCTGTGGTAAGTATTCCTAGGAATTTCCCTGACTCAGCATTTGTATCGCTGAGCCGTCACTAACTCCATTTGAATAGGTGACAGAGCTGAGCTGTAAGAACATGATGGTGATGCCAATCCAGTTGGCAAGGGGACAACAATAGATCAAAACCTAGTTGGTCCGAATCCAGTGATTAATCCAATCCTAATGCTATGTGGCCTCCCCAAACTTTCTGAAACAAGTAGAGTTTCTCATTGAATTGTGTATTTCATTAAGTTTGTATTTCTTTCCCTAAGTATTTAAGGGCTTATTCTTTGGGACAAATTGAAGAACAAAAAACAAAATCCTCCTTGGGCAAGTTCTGCTTTGGATTCCTTGGTTCCTCGGGGAATTTTCTGGAAACTGTGAAGTGCTATAATTTACTTTATGTCCATCAGCTCAGGTTGGAGGTCTTGAAGATGGACAAAGACTCAATCAGAGATATTACATACCAGGCTTGGTGCATTAAAAGTGATTCTGGAAACTGTGAACCATAAACCTTTTTTTGTGGGAGTAAGATAAGCTAAAAATGTATGTGTATGTTCACACACATACAGACTTAAACACATATACATACACACATATATATACACACACTTACATATACACACACATATATACACACCTACTCACACACACACATATATTTACACATACATACATATACAATGTTCAATGCATAATCCATAATAAGGTTGGCATAAGCGGGCACTTGGCCCATTATCTAGAAGAGCGCTCTCTACCCTGAATTAGCATATGAATCTACATAGCTGTGAATCACAAAAGAAGCCAAAAGCAGATGCACTAAATCTGGTCTTGAAATCTAGAAGAATGTTGTGTCACCTACTCCAGAAAGTAAAGAATGATCCAAACACTGTGCTTTGAGGGGAACAAAATGGCCCAAGAAGTCTTAGATGACTCTGCATATACTATGGAATGTATGTTTTTTTCTCTAATCTTGGCATTGTACCATGTAGATGAGTAAGGAGCCACAGAAACATTTTCTAGCAGCATTCAGAGCTGGCCAAGAATGCCACTCACATAAAGCAAATTTGGATATATTTTGCATACGTACAATTTTCAGATGAGATAATAGTCTCATGACATCTGCCATGTCCGCCAGGATGAGCAAGCGTGTTACTGCTGACAGCAGAGCCCGGGCTGCCCGCACCATGGTGCCCCGCTTCACTGAGGAGCATGGGTCATCAGCGAACTCAGAGGAGGCGATCCGCATGGTCTCACCTGGAAGACAAAGCGGGAGAGACATGTGGGTAGACAGGAGGCTGAGCAGGTGGAAACGTGAAAGATCTCCAAATGCATGATGGTTGTTCTTATTGCAAAAGTTGGGTGAGCAGCTGATGCTTCTCTCTGCTCCAAACCAGCAGAATGCCTTTGAAGTCAAGCATACCAGTGCACATGGACAAGTGTTAACAAAACTAAGGAACAAAATCATATTTTTAACCACAATAATGAAGACAATATATTCGATTTGTGTCACAACTAAGAACCTGCCCCGAGTTTAACCATCTTCCCTTCATCTCTCTTGAAAATAATGCCAGTTAGTTACTGGGCATCTAGTTCAGGTTACTGACATCCCAAAGACAAAATTTATTTCTCAATGAGGCAAAGGATTCCTTAAGACTATCCTCTTAATCAAGCTAAGACAAGAGTACACAGACACTCAAGGTCCAGTCTTCCATCCCTCTGTCGCAAATGTCTTAAAGAGCTCCTTGGGGTTATCCTTCATAACCTTTTCTCCTTGCACCAGAACACAGTGACTAAGTATCAATATAGACATATGGTTAAGAAGTCCTGTGAAGAAAGTAGTGATTTGCTAGTAGGAAGAATACTATTAGCTTCCATGGGCTATGGGAAATGAAAGTGTGCTGTTCCCATGAAGAATGTGGTTGGGACAAAAGTGGATCTAAAGCTGGGATCTGCAGCTTCGTGGATAGATGTGAGAGGGAGTGGCTGGAGAGAGAGAGGTGGTAGAGCCTAGAACACCATCAAAGAACTTTGGTCAAGTAGAGAAGTGACATGAATGGACTTGTGTATTGGAAGACTATTTTTATCACGTTCTATAAATTAAACTTCAAGGGGGTCCAACTGGGACTAAGAAATGAGTAAGCAGGGCAGATAGGGTTGTAGACTAGACAGCACTGATGAGGGCCAGGACTAGGAAAATAAGTGGAATCCTGATTCAGAGGAGAAGTGGATAGTAATGAGGTCTTTAAGACATGGACAAAGGTTTTCAGGGACTGATTAGGCAAGATGGGACAGATAATATATTACAATAGTGGAGCCATGTACACTATTTGCACAAATGGGTCCCTGGACTGGGAAACAAAGGGAGATAATTACCTCAAATAATACTCATACGGCATGTGTGGGCGGATATTCACTGGGGTCAGGAGGGCGGGGAGGAAGCATAAATGGAGTTTCATCTCAGCAGTTAACCAAGGATTAAAAAAAAGCTTTCAATAAATTTGAAGAGTTGAATTAATTTATTCAATATCGTTATTAGAAATGATTATCAAACAAAACCTCACTTGTTAATAAAGCCAATGATAGCATTGAACAATCTGTAATTTACCCTGAGACACAAAGGAAAAAAAAAATAGAAAACACACACATCCCCAACACATCTTCTTACATTACAGACAGATGAGAACGTAATGCCATTCACTCGTTGTTACAGTTATTTAAACCCTTATGGCAATACTTTTTATACTTGAAGCATGTGGGCGTACAGGAAACCATATCATGCTGCTTTCTAAAAGAAGCTCTTATCCGCTGCGAGCATATTATATTGTCCACGAAGCCTAAGTTTTATGCATAGGCATAAACAAAAGATTTGATATATAACCAGGTTTGAAATGAGTGAAAAATTCTTTTTTATAATGGCATCCTAGTGAATTTTCAAGAGATGTAAATAAAGTTTAAAGTTGAGATTGCAGTGAGGAGACACAAATGCCACACAAGTGTCACAGCCTTCCTCAAGTCTATTTCATGTTCTCTACTCCTCTCATCCCCCTTCTTCCAAATAAGACATAAGTGGCAAATATCTGAGGTGGAGAGAAGAAAGCTACTTGATTTCTCTTTCAGGGCCTGGGTGCTGCCCCATAGTTTTTTGTTTGTTTGTTTTTGTTTTCATTGCCCTCCCCCCCCCCCCCCGCAAGACCAGTGCCCTACCACTTCAGCCACGACTCCACTTTTAGCTTTTTGGTGGTTAATTGGATATGAGTGTACCAGAGGTTTCTGTCTAGGCTGGCTTTGAACCACGGGTTTACATGTGTGTGCTGCCATGAGATATTTCTCTTTTTCAGTGAGAATGGAAAGAATATTACATACTGAGGCAAATCCAGTGACATATTGAGAGGATCACAAATAAAGCTAAACAAATTCCTTGGCAGTATTGTTGGGTAGATAAGCTGTTGGGAATAGATTCACTTATTCAAGGAGAGAGGTATGTGCTGTGCACAGCCAACTAGTAGCTGCAAGGGATCCTCCATGGTAAATTGAGCCTTAGCTTGAATAAGAGGGAACCACTGAGTTAGAGCTACTCCAAGAAAACACAGGACCCCAGGAGGTGTAACCAAGTTCACCCCATCAAGCATGGAATGGCTAAGACATCACCAAATGGGGTTTTCCATCACAGACTTGCATATAGAGGGGCAGTGTGATGGTACTTTATCCAGATGCTGTCCATTTGATCACTTGTACTTCAAAGTACAGTGCTTCAAAGACACTGAGTGACAGATTGGAAGTATGGAATTCTTAGGTGGAGGTAATCAACTGGGGCCCAGAGCGGGTATCTCAGTATCCAGTGGATGTCCATGAGAGAGGGGGAGAAAGAGATGAATTTGCAAGTAGAAAACTCAGGCTAAATTCTGAGATCATTCTAAGATAAATAGAAGGTAATTTCACTCATTTTAAATTAAAAGTAAAAGCTCATCTGAAACACATATAAATGATTTCATGTTGTTAAAGATTCCAAAGGAAAGGCAATCAGAAATCAGCTATAACTTTAATGTGTCTTATATCCCTGCAGTTGTAGGCTTACTGAGTTAAATGGAAATCTATATTACAAAATGATAAAACTAAGTTCATCAGTATAAAATGAGCTATTTTCCCAGGGAACGGTTTTATTCTGCAAGACAGAAATAATTAACCGAGTATAGGAAGGGCTGTGCAGGAAAGGGATGAAGTGTTGGAGAAAGGGTAGCAGGGATCTGCTTGGACCAATCTACAACTTCTCATATTCACTCTCATTTATTTGATTTTAGAGCTCACTCAGAACCCAGTCTCTAGGTAAAGGCTTTGATCTCCTGAAGCCACCTTCATCTGCTGGAAAGAAAAAATTAACCACTGAAATAGTGATGAGAGACCCAGCAAATAGTATTCTGTAGTTCTTTTATACCAATGCTTGTCATATGTGTATTGCTCTAAAAGCTTTACATACTCATCTCAGGGGGTAAAAAAGAACAAACATTTAAGGAGATGATGACCTGGATTCGGACTCTGACTCCAACTATTTCAGGAGTTTAGTGCTTGCTTATTCAACTTGCAAGTATTAGTCCCCTCAAATATAAAAATGGGGGTAAAAATAGAATTAGCTGCCACACAGACTCCCATTCCAGTGAAAAGTGCTAGACTGCATTCAAAGCAGTTACCCTGAGGCCTCCTCTCTAAGAGGAGCTCAATCTTTATTATCACTATCATAATAATTAGTACCTTAAACCAGGCTAAGGAAAAATGGTGAATATATCACAGATTTGGAAATGTATTATACTTGATTCCACTCATAACTACTTTTTGTCTTCTAAAATATTTTTTATTATCTTTAAGTAGCTTTACAAAGGAGTTACCATTCAACAAAGCAGTTTATGAATACAATGCATCTTGGTTAATGTCACCGCTTTCAATATTCTCACCTCTCTCTCCCAACCCATCCCTTTCCTCATTTTTCTTAATTTTGTCAGCTATGAATTGAATTTTTGACCACATTGCTCTTTTTCATCCCTTCTTCTTCCCCATAAAGGTCTGACTTTAAAGCAATAAAACATCTGTCCAATAAAAAATAGTTATTACTTTAAGATAAGATGTATAAAAAAGAAAATGGTGCTTAGATTTTGGGTCAGTTTTGTCCTGACTCCTGGGCTACCCTGGAGGCACTGGGATGGTAGACACTAGTGGATATGAGCTGTGTAGTGTTTGTTGGAATGTGCAATGCTGCAGATAGAAGGAAAGCAGATAGAAGACAGACTTATGAAAATCATATTAAGAAGAAAATCCTAAACCACATAGAGGCTATGGAAATCATCTGGCTCATTCTTTTGAGAATGGGCCTGGATGCAAGGTAAGAAAACTGTAAACAGCATGACAGCTAATGGAAAATCATGAGAAGCAAGGAAAAGTTATGGTAAACGTCAGGCTAAAGAATACAGTGGAAAGGCGTGGGCAGCTGGATTAGTCCTCTAAGTCTTCTGAGCTGAGCAGGGTTTAACTTCTCTTTCCTTTTTACTCTTTCAGCAATGGCAAGCATAGGATTTGTCTGCTGCACTGCAATTATAGGGGAAGGGGGGAAGCAAAGAATACTGTAGCTACAGATAAGAGGGAGTAAAACAACTAGAAGGATGGACTGTAGCATACAATAGAATTTCAATGTGCCTCCCATACCTGGTAACATGTATGCTCAACTTTTCCTTATAGAATAAATGTGTTTCTTATGAAACTGAAAAATGAAGACAAGTCAAATGAATCAAAACACTATTCTCACTTTTAATTACTAAGGACAACAGTCAGAATCTTCTGATGAGTTTTCTTTAGGAAGGTTCCCTATGCCCATTTTTTAACCAACAGTTTTTACATGTCATACCTACAGCCATGTATTTTTCTTTGTCTAAGTACATAAAACATGAGCAATTGTTGCTTTTTATATTTCTGTCTCTTTTGTGGAATTCCTAGAGAAGATGATAGAGAAAAAGTCTCAAAGGAGTGTTTTCTTAGCCATGGCTATTCTCTCTCATGATAGACTATGGAACACGTTTCACAGATTTTTCTGAGGCACAAATCTTCATGAGACATCAATAATCTTACACAGCAATGCAAAAGCTGCACAACAGGACAAGTTCTGACTCTATGTGTACATCCTATCAGAACCACATACTTGCAGGGCCAGGGAAAGAAGGAATATCACAACTGAAAAATGCAAATCTGAACAGTGTCCAACTTCTGAATGT